CTCCCAAGTTGTTCAATGAAACATTATTTCTTTATCTACCTTATTCCTCATTTGAGAGCATCACCCACAAGAACACACCATTTTACTCAAGAAAAAATTCAATTTAGAGTCTTAGAAGATGGTCATCAGCAAATATGAGTCTCTGGGGTTTCATGAGCACCAGGCATATTGTAGACATTCATTAAATGTTTACTGCAAAACAAAACTTTTAAAAAAATTTCCTGCTGCTATTGTAGACATGTAACATTAAGTTCTAGACATGGAAGAGCAACACCAGGGAAACAAGAAACTGTCCCTATTAAAAAAAATAGTCTTCCATTTCTCTCAGATGGCAAGGTCTCCTTGATAGTGGCTGCAGCCTTTCTGCATCAATGCTGTCTCCAAAGATTTTTTTTAGAGAGGTAGAAGACAGTGCCTCATAAAAGGATCTACGAAGGGATTTACAGAAGGCATCACCCCCACCAAACATGTCCACATTCTAATTTTTGGAACCTATGGATGCTTTCTGTTTCATGGAAAGCAAAAATGAAGGCTGCAGATGGAATTAAGATTACTAATCATCTGAACCTCAGATTACCCTGGATTACGCAGATGGGACCAACTTTCTTACAAGTGTCCTTAAAGGCAAAGTGAGACAGAGGAAAAGGGCAGAGTGGTACAGTCTGAGAAAAACGTGTGCAGTGTCGCTGGGTTTGAAGATGGAATGGGTCACAAGCCAAGGAATGACTACAGCTTCTACAAGATGGAAGAGGCTAGAGAATGGATTGTCTTCTAGAGTCTCCAGAAAGAAAGGCAGTTGTGATGATGCCTTCTCACTGCAGTGAGATCCATTTTGTGTTGTTTTACACTGCAAAGTACCTGGTGACTTTTTTTATAGTAACAATAAGAAACAGAGGGTGAGTGGATGAGGAGAGAGAGACTGAGAGGCAGGTAGAATGACGTCATTATAACTCACGGGAGCTTATGGAGGTTACTTCTTTGAACTTTTGTTTTTTCTATCACAATAGTGGGTTAAGACTACGGAACTTGTTAAGTTACTTTTAGTTACAATATATTTTAAAAACTTTATTTGGCATTTTCCGGGAGACAATTTAATATTTGAATTTATTTATTCATTTTAAAAATGACTTTATAAAAGAGCAGGGCTCAGTTTGTGTGCGTGGCCTAGGGATCCATGCACTGAGAGACTGGCTCCCGGTGTGGAGCTGTGGGAAGCAGCAGAATTTCTGAGAGGTGGAGCTCCCCGGGAGGTGGCTGGGTTGTTGGCAATCTGCCCTTGGAGGGAAGAGGTGTTTCTGTGGAATTCTTTTGAGATAAACTGTTATAAAAAAGTCTGACTCCACTGTAGTCCTGCCTGGCCTTGGGACTCTTCCCTCTCCAATGTGCTCTTATCACCGCCACCACAAGGGGACAAAGGTAATGGGGCGAGTGCCATGTGTTTCAGACTTTAAGCTTTCCAAACAGTGAGCTCATAAGTAACTTTTCTTAACCACTTATCTAGCGTTAGGTATTTCAGTATATGAGGTGGGGTCAAACATGCAGTGGATATTTAAATTAAAAAATTATTATAGTGAAAGACACACTGCCATCAGTTCTCAAATAGTGGTTTGCTTTGAACACAGTTACCCATCGTTCTCCGCACTTACTGATGCAGTTCAGGACGCCTTCTGTCATTGTGCTGTTGGAGCTTCCTAGGTGTCCTGAACTGATTCAAAATGTTATTCAAAGTGATATCACAGTTATTTTGACTTTGGGGAAGAGCCAGAAGCTGTAGAAAGCTAGATCTGGTGAGTACAGTAGATGAGGATACACTAGAATGTTTTTCTTTGACAGAAATTTCTGCAAACACTTTGAATTGATTCAGAACATGGAGGCAGCCACAAAAAGACAGAAAAGAGGACTTCCAAGGCTGCTCTGGAGAGTGGCCTCCGAGAGTGATGTTAAGTGTATTTGAAATGAGGGGGAGTATTTTGAAGGAAATTAATGGCAATGTATTTTTTACTATAATAAATTTTTAATTAGGAAAAAACCAATAAATGTTCATTGTGTTTTTGTAATCACACCACATAACAATAGGAAACAACAATGCCAGCAGTTTTGTGCTTGTAACAAAGCGGAGAAAAAGAGATTCCCAGGTATCTTGCTGAATCCCCACATTCATAGCACCTCTCATCAGCACCTCCACTAGAGGAGGACATTTATCACAACTAAGGCATGTACAATGGTCCAAGTCCACGGTCAGTTTACACTGACATCCATCTCTGCTGCTGCACATTCTGTGGATGTGGATAAACACGTATGACATGCATCACCACTGCATTTTCACTACCCCCAAAATCTTTGCTCCATTTAGTCATTCTTCTCTCCTTTCCAAACTCTGACAATCGCTGATCTTTTTACTGTCTTCATAGTTTTGTTTTCCACAATAACATACATGGTTTAATTTTCTTAGTAATACACATTTAAATTTCTTCTACAGCTTCTTATGGCTTGATAGCTCGTTTCTTTTCAGTGTTGAATACTATTCCATGGTACCAGAGTTTGTTTGTTCATTCATGTACTAAAGCATAAAGGATGCTTTGGTTGCTTCCAAGTTTTGGCAGTTATGATTAAAACTGCTATAAACATTTGATGCAGCTTATGTATGGAAATAAATTTTCAACCTCTTCAGATAAATACCAAGGAGAATGATTGGGGATCATATAGTAAATGTGTATTTATTTCTAAGAAACTACTAAACTGTCTTCCCAAAATCTATGCTATTTTGCATTCCCATAAGCAATGGATTACAGTTATTGTTGCTTGGTATTCCGGCTTTTGACTGTTCTATTTGAATAGTGTACCTTAGTGTCCTTTGTAAGGGTGTCTTTAACAGTAAAGGAGACAACATCTTTGCCTCATCCAGCCCTAGGTCTGGTACTATGCAGGTGCTCATAATTGTCGCTTTTTTCCCTTTCTGTTCTTTCTCCCCATCCTGCACAGCATCTGGTGCCAGGATGTAGCATAAAGATTACAAAAAAAGAGAACAAGGGGAAAAATAAAATTAACCCAGAGAATGTGTCAAGCCTGCCTGGTCTAGGATGGGGAATCTATACAACTCACTACTTTCTCGAAGAAAAAAGGAACATGAGGTGGGACACAGGCAGAAAGAAAATATAGACAGGCTTTTCCCTTCAAGGCTCTGTATCTCTAGTCATAAGGAGGGAAACTTAAAAATTAGCATATATATAAATTATATATAGGCTTATCATATCTATACCTATATAGGTTTATAATGTGTGCTCAGGTGGCAAGGGTGGATACACGTCTGTTAAATTCCAAAGGTTAAGACTGACCCTTAAAAAGGCTTAGAGAGTGTTCTTTTTTAAAAGAGAAGCTGGAAATTGGCTAGTTGAACTATATTAAATCTCCTGACTTTTCATTAATTATTCTATTTCCTAGGTGATGTGATATGCATAGAAACTGTGTATTAATAAGATCTCTGTCACAGATTATATTTTGTAGTGTTAAAGACACTAGAGAAATATATGAATAATGGAAAATGAGATCTTCTAAGTTTGAATAACTTACTCACTTAGACTTTGTAGGCAATGTAGGTTTCAAGAGAGTTGTAAACAGAGATAATTTCATCATTCAAACGGTAATAAAAATTATTATGAGGGTTTGTATGCACATTGTGTTCAGAGAAATCTTTTTAAATTAAATTTTGTGATACTGTACAACTGAATAAGTCATTTTATGTTTATAACAAATATATTTTATTAATAGTTCTAATTTTAAGAAATAAGTTTTAAGCCATTTTTGGCTTATTAATAAATTATTTTTGAGAAAGTACAAAAAGAAATCTTACAAACCACTGTCTTTAAAGGAATACTTATAAATTCCAAAGTGACTTGGTGTGAAATATATCTAACTTCAAATTACAAGATTATCTTCCTGACTTCATTTTCAAGCTAACCTAAAATTTAGTTAAAGATCATTTGAAGACATTAGCTATTAAGATCTTTAAGGCTTTTAAACGGAAAAAGCAGTCTCCTGAAGTGACTATGACATGTTTAAGTTAATATTTTCCCCAAAGGTTCACTGTATAATTTAACTTGAGAAGATATGAATAAACACATAGACTGCTACAATGTTTTAGAAAATGATTTACCATTTCTTGATTTTGGAAAGCTCTTTAAAATACACAAAATCTTCTGCATTTCCCACCACACCAGTTTTTCTAAAGGGATTACAGCTTAGATAACCAATAGTGAAGACACATCTGTTAATCAAGGGACTTAGAAATCTCAGGGAAAACATGAACACAGCATCTTTTCTTCATCTACCCTTGCCCCATTCACTGCCCACCCCCAATGCCTTAACAACTGGGTTTACAGAGCAAAAGACCTTTTCTCCAAATACTCACAAGCTTCTGTGGTAATATACAGAGATTTTCCAAAAAGTCAACATTTACTTAATATAAAGAGCCTTGAGTTTTGAGCTAGTGGAGCCATCAGGTTTATCTAACCCTGAAAAACAGCTCAACTAGCTGTCATATGCAGATATTCACCTTTCTCCCATGAAGACTTCTGCTGGCAACAGCTAAACCAAAGTGGAAACTTGATAAAAATGAAAACTGTGGTAGCAAAGTACACTTAAAAGTTTAATTTGACAGTCTGCAAAAATTTGGTAGGTTATAGTGGTTTCCATATAACCACAGTACTGATTTAGAAAACCCTCAGAGGACATATAAACTGTTTTGCTTGCAGAGGAAACTCCAGAATTTCAGGGTGTATGCCTTTTGATGGCAGAATTTGCACAGAACATTGGTGTAAACTGTATGTCTCTCTTACTGAGAATAGGGAGACAATGAAACCTGCAGACCTTACATATACATATTAGGCAAGCTTCAAAGATCCCATTTTGTTTATTTTACTAAAGTGCGGCAAAGAATGAAATAGTCAATTCTGCTGGGCTACCAAGAAAATGTGGCTCATACCACTGGAATATTTGATTACCTGTGAATGTCTCCATTTGTGGCATTTAGTAGCAACTGGCTGAGGCAAACCTGGCAAAATGTTTTCCAGCTGCTGAAGGATTAACTCCTGTACATCCTCAATGCTGTGTTCTAAGTATGTAACTCCAAACGGGACTGTGGTATGAATCACCAGTGAAGGCCCGATTTCTGCTGACTCTGTGGTAAGACAGGAATATAAAGACACATCTTAAAATGAGCAACATGGAAACTTCGCTCAGCATTTCAAGGCAGAGTAAAGAATGCATCACAATAATCAGACAATAAGTGGAGAAAAAACATTCTAATCTTTGAGCGTAAATTAGGCTATTTCTGAAATTCAAAAATCAAGCTTCTTTGAAAAGGAAGACAGATTGAAACTATGGTTTTGAGAACTAATAGGTCTTGCTAAAGAACTAAAAGGAAAGAGTTGGGACTTAGCTCAGCGGCATAAAGTGCCTACCTGGAAATGCAAGATCATAAGTTCAACTCCCAGTACAAACGAAAAATAACAAAAAAATCCCCCCAAAACAAAGGATGGTAAGAGTATATATGTATTGCTCGGGGTACAGCTGAACATTTGTTTTCTTTATCCACTAAATTGCTAGGTCTTTAGAGCAGGGTCTATTTTTGCACATTGTTTATATTCTTAAATTCTGAGGATAAAGTAATGTTTCATGAACAGCTATCTCATTTTTTTGTAAAAGAGACTGTAGAAGTATTTCAATGAAATTGTAGAAACCCTGGACTATCTTTAGCACCTTCAAAAAAAAAAAAAAAAATCAAGCTTCAGGTTAGGCGTGGTGGCTCACACCTGTAATCCCAGCACTCAGAAGGCTGAGGCAGGAGGCCTGGCTACAAAGTGAGCTCAAGGCCAGCCTGAACTGCCGAGAGAGACTCTGTCTTAAAAAAAAAAAAAAAAAGACAAAAAAACAAAAACAAAAGCAAGCTTCTCTTTAGATATAGAATAGTCCTCATAACATTCTTTAGAAGTCTGCCCCGTTTATAACATGGAGGGAATTATTTTTCATTTTTGTTTGTCACTGGATTTGTTTTCCTATATTTTCATAATTAGAAAAGATGAGTATCTTCTTTGTATCTTTTAGTCTTTAATAGAATATAGGGCAACTGAACAAAGTTTGATGTTAAAAGCAATTAGAAAATGCATCTTGAAAAGAAAGGTAGCATTTGTTTAAATCATATAGAAGAGAACAGGGAAGCATGACTTTACATTTGAGAGGTTTTTCTTTTAACTTTTTTGTTGTTGTTGTTGTTGCTTTTCTGTTGCAGGGTCTTACTATATAGTTCAGGCTGACCTTGAACTCATTTCATAGACCAGGTTGGCCTTGGATTTACAGCCGTCCTCTTGCCTCAACCTGACAAAGCTGAGATTACAGAAGTATACTACCACACCCAGCTATTACAGAGTTTTAAACTTTTTATTTAAAAAAAAATAAAAGGTTTTTTTTTTTTTTTTTTTTGGTATAGGGGATCAAACTCACTATCTGATGCTTGCCAGGCAGGCCCTTGTGCCTCTGGGCTACATTCCTAGTTCTTAAAAAAAATCTAATTATTTTTATTTTTATTTTTTTGGTACTGAGGATTGAACCTAATGCCTTCACAATGAGGCCTTAGTAACTATATTCCCAGGTGTTTTTTTTTTTTTTTAATTCTGTATTTTGAGACAGGATGTCTCTAAGTTGCTAAATTGACAGGCTGGATTTGAATTTGTAATTCTGCATCAGCGTCTCTGAGAACTGGGATTACAGGTGCATGCCACCATGGTTGGCTTATTTTTTGTAAAATGTAAGTGAGTTTATACCTACCTTATATTGGTTTATGGGACAGATTAAGCAACAGAGCACTTGAAATGCTCCACACAGTTTCTGGTACAGCGTAAGTGCTTAATAAACGTAAGCGATGAGTATGGAAGCAATGAACCAGGTACTGAAGTGTTGCCCAAATTATAAGTGTGAATGAATTTTTAGAAGAGTACTACATTTTATCTAGAATGGTAGTGGAGAAAAAGAGATTGGCGTATGCGTGTGTAGGTAATCCTACCACTCCTAGGAAGCTGAGGAAGGGTGATCAAAAGCTCAGCCCAGCCTGGGCAATTTAGTAAAGACTGCCTCAAAATAAAACATAAAAAGAGTTGGGGATGTAGTTCAGTGTCAAGATTCTGAGTTCAATCCCTCGTATTTTTTAAAACAACACCAAACACATTTCATTTCCCTTTTTTGCACTTGGGGAAACTTGGCTTATGAATTTTATAGCAAAATACTTTAAAATGCCTTAGGCCTTTTAAAGTACAGTTAGTGTTTTTAAGTAATTTCACATCAGTAGTTTAGGACATGAGTTCGGACTCTGTGCAGTAAATACCAAGATGAGCCAGATTGCCCACTATTTTACCTCACTGCACCTAGAATCACTCAGAGAGAAAACAGAGGGATCACCTGTTGTATTGAATGTTTAACCTGTTGGCACAGACCTGATGGGTACCACACATTACATAAGTGGAAGTACCAAGTGTACAGAACTTCAAGTTCTTTCAGGAACACCACTACAGTGAGGAAACCATTGCGAATTGCTTCATCAAATGGTACTCATATCAGTTAAGAAATTCACAGTGGTTGCACCAGTTTATACTCCCACCAATAGTGGAGAAATGTTTCCATCAACATTTGTTATTGGTTGATTTTTTTGATAATTGCCATTCTTCCTCAAGTGAGGTGAAGATTTCTCAAAAAATGAGGACTAGAGGTTCCATTTGACCCAGCTATTTCCCTTCTTGGTATCTTCCCAAAAGAATTAAAAGCGTCATACCACAGTACATCCATATTTACTGCAGCACAGTTTGTAATAGCTTACTCTTGGAAACAACTCAAATGCCCACTGACTGATGAATGGATAAAAACGATCGTGTGTGTGTGTGTGTGTGTGTGTGTGTGTGTGTGTGTGTTGACACAGTGGAACACCACTCGGCCACAAAGAAGGATAAATGTTAGTTTAAATGTATTTCTAAATGGATGAACCTTGAAATCATACTCTTAAGTGACATAAATTGGACATGTGTGTGTAAATACCCCATTGTCTCACTGGTGTTAGAAACTGAAAGTGTAAATAAGAACCAAGTTGCGTAAGAGATATGGCGAAACGGGAAGGAACTGCTCAAAGCAACAGGGAGCTGAAACGGGGGAGGGGGGCGGAAAAGGAAGCAAGGGAAATGAAAACATGGGAAACAGAAGGAGAAAATGGAAACAAAACTTGGTAAATAAGGAGGGGAAGCGGGATTAAAGGGTGGGGAGGGGGACAGGAGGGGAAAAAACACAAGCTGAGATATATTATGCACAGGAACAAATTCCCTATGATGAATGTGATCACCGTATACATCTAAACTGTACCAGTAAACTTAATTTTTAAAAAAGGAAAGCAAGTCAAAGAGGGAGTATCAATACTATCCCTTTTCCATGTGGCTCCACATCTTCCCAGGGGCAAGAGAAGCTCCCTAGTCAGTATTCTGAAGCATGTGAGCTGGGGCTCTGCTTGTAATCTACAGCAGGATTCAAATGGACATGAATGCCAGCTGTGTGCCAAAAACAGAGGCTGCACTGATGCAGCCATTGTTCTGGGGCAAACGTCTGAGTCCCTGAGACCACGCACGGTGCCATGCAGCTTCTCCCTTTTATTTACCCATCTACTCATAGAAGAGCAGTAAAAAATAAAAGTTAAGAACCAGAGTGAAGCAGTTCTTAGAAAACAATGAGAGAACGACCTCGTTACTTGTTGTTCACAAAACAAGACAATTTTTATTGAGACTTTTGATTAAAATTTGAATAGCTGTATCCTAAAACAATCAGTTTAAGGAAAAGTTTCCTTGATCTCAAATTAAAGGATATTTTTAGAAGCTAAAGCCCCAAACTATAAGGAATTAACCACTATTTAAATGTCCCAAGATTTGGAGATAGAGAATTATAAAATGTCACAAATATGTTAATGGGATCCAGTGCATACATTTAGTAGAATCATTATTCTTTGGTCACTGGGAAGTTAATGATACTATCTTTTTCTTTTCTTTATTTAGTTTTAGCAAGAATAGCATTTTTTTTGGAATTTCAAATGTGAAGTTCATAGAAGTTGAACATAATTTCTATACACCGGGAGATCAATGGCTGTAGAATCAGAATTACTTAAATCCCTGCATCCTTAATAGAACTCTGGTCTTAAACACTTTAATCTCTCAGGCTTTATTTTTTCCCTCATAAATTAAAAGTCACACTGACTCCCATATAAGGCTGTCTTGAGGATGAAATAGGTTAACCCACAGAAAAGTGTTTCTTTAAATATAAAATATTATATAAGTGTAAAGCATTGCTAAATAATATTCTTGTTTTGACCCCTATGCTGTGGCCAGAGTGGACTTACAAAGGGATGAACTGTTTAAATTCTTTTAAAGCTTAAGATTAATGATTATATTAAAGCAGTGTTTTTTATATAAATATTCTAAGAATAATAACAGACTATTCCTAGATATAGGTACAATAATTGTTTCTTATTGTGGTAAAACACATGTAAAAATAAAATTTACCATTTTAGCCTAATATGTGTATAGAGTTCAGTGATAGTAAGTATATTCACAGTGTTCTGCAAGTATCACTACCATTAATTTCTAGAAAATTTTCGTCTTCCCAAAGTGAAACTCTATAACCCTATTAAACAGCAACTCTTTATTCTACTGTTCTCTCAATCCCTGGCAACTGCCATGATATAGTACTTCCTGTCCCTATGAATTTGGCCATTTTGGGTACTTTATATAGGTAGAAACATACAATTTTTTGGTGACTGTATCCTTTCATTTACTGTATTGTTTTTGAGGTGCATCCATAAAATATCCAAGAAATTGCATCTCACTTCTTTTCATTACTGAAAAAAATTCCATTGTTGGATATATCACAATTATCTATCATCAGCTGGTGGACACCTAGGTTGCTTCCATCTCTTGGTTATTGTGAGTAATGCCACTATGAACATGAGTGTATGAGTGGCCATGCAAAGGTCTAGGTAAGGTATATACCTAGAAGTCCAATTGTTGCATTACATGGTAATTCCATTTTTATGAGGACTCATACTATTTCACAGCATTATTTTTCCTTTCCTCTAGCAACATACAGGAGCTCCATTCT